GCGACAAGGAAGAGCTGCCTTTCAGTAATAGCTGCCTTTCAGTAATAGCTGCCCCAGGCACTGTACAGGCTGCAAAGCCTCTAAGGGACATGTGCATTTATTGCTGACATCCTAATTAGTTAAATTAATTTTTTGGCAGTTAAAATTTATAATTTAAAATTCATCCCATTACAAAGAGGGGGAGATAAAAACTGTGCAACACTGACAAAGGACTGAGATAGATAAGGCCCAGCAGGGGCAGCCCTAGGGCAGGTTTCTCCTCTCCTGATGGGGGAGCAGCAACACAGTAGAGTCCTGGGGTTCACAGCCACTGGCCTGGTCCAGTGTATGGGCCTCTCCAGCTAGGGTGAGCAATGCAGGACCTTCCTGGGTAGGATGAGACACTTCAGTCACCTGCCCTGCGCCCAGACACAGCGGTTTCTGGGACATCTTGGGCATGTGTCAGGGCTGGGATGGGCCCCAAGGCCCATAGGGCCCTGGGGAGGGGATGCCAGGGCTCTAGCACCAGCCCTCCCAGGCCAAGGGTTTTAGAACCACAGATTACAAAGAAAAGTGTGAACCTGTGGCAATTAACTGCACAAGGGAGGAAGGATCGCTGTTTATCTTAATAGCCCTGGGACAAGGAATGCACTGCTGTCACTTGAGAAATAATACTCATCTATGTGCTCAATAGTCAGTGGAACACCTTGAAGGGCCCAGAGTTATGCAAGAGGAAACTGAGAGAATACCATCACTGCTCGCATAGAGCTCATCTTTCCAGAGGTTAGTCAGACAAAGCAAACGAGCATGGGACACAAAAAAAGCAGGATAACAAAAACAGATTAAGATGAAAAATAACCAATGCCACACCCATGGAATGTTTCAGTCATGAGTGATGTTTAACCCTCTGAAGCTTACCCAACTTTGCCACACTTATTTCTGGTCTGTGCTCATGTTTATTTGCTTCCAGAAGGAAGAGGTGGGCAGTGGGTTGTGTCCATCTCCATGTCCTGGACAGGCTGAATTCTGCTCTGGCTTGTCCTGTGTCAAAGAACAATCTCCAGCTTTACCCAGTGAGGACTGCCTCTGTGATAAGTCCTGTAATTTTTGGCCTTCGTGTTTCTTCACAAGTAATGGATGGGTTTGGGTGGCTGTCATCTTTCTCATGGCCCATGTGATGAATGCCTGTGGAGTAAGGAAGGAAGGAGGGCGGCAACCACATCCATCCTGTTGGAGGATAAGAGGCACCCAGTGGCAGCGAGTCCTGGGCAATCAGATTTGGCACTCAGAATTCTGGTTTCCTCACTGTCATGGACTTTCTGGATGCGTGAGTGATGGTGACAGGTCTTCAGGCAGGAGCTGCTGCGCCCACTTGCTGAGGGCATTATTTCCTTTCACTGTGTGTCCTGGTTTTGTGTGTGTAAGACTCAGAGCCACTTTATTCAGATCGGAGCAACCCTAGTCACCCACCTTCCACTCAAATGTGGGACAGAGAGAATTGGTGACACAGGAAATGCAACCCCTGTTGTGTTTCCTGTTAATCCATTTGGCACAGGATGTCTTACAGCAGGAAAATTAAAGGAATAACTCCAGTGCTTTGGGTTTATTGAGTCCCTACAGCCCACCATGTGCTTCCTGTTTGTGATGGTTTAAATCTAAAATGTCTCCCCAAATTCTCACTTGTGTGGAAGGTGACTGGATCATGGTGGCCCTATACTCATCAATGTATTCATTCATTGATGAGTTCATAGCTGAGTGTGCTGTTAGGAGGTGGGGCCTGGGTAGAGGTGGGCCCCTGGAAAGGTATATTCTTGTCCCTGGCTCCTCCTTTCTATCTCAGCCTCCTGGCTGCCATGGGCTGAGGACCTTTCCCTCCACCATACTACTTCCGCGTTGGAGCCAGCCAACCATGGACTGAAATCTTGAGGCAAAATAAACCTGACATCCTTGAAATTGTAGGTGGTGGGTATTGCATCCCAGTTACATGAAAGTGATTGAGACACTGTTCAAAGCTAAAGAAGAGACTCTGCAGGTGGTCAAATCACTGAGCCTGGCCATAACCAGAGAACGAGTCTACTTCCCTCTCAGGAACTTTGAGGCGCTGATAGAGACCAGTCCAGCGTCATGTGGAGTTTGTGACACACTGACAGCTGTACAGGGGAGGTGTGCAGAGTCTTCTCCTTCAACTGAGGACTGAGGTGCTGACAGTTGAAGCCTCAGGAGAGAGAGGAGGCCCTGTGTTATGACAGCTCATAACCATATGAGCAGTGTTGAAAAGAAATCTGAAATCTCCCTGAACTCCACTTAGATTCAGAAAGTGGATTCAGAAAGCCACCTACAATTCTGATTCCATGACCCACAGCAAATACTCTCAACAAGTAGGAATGTCAGCATGTAGAAGTCAGCCTGCCTCTGTGTGAGGCCAACTCCTCAAGTGAAGGAGGACTTCTGAGCCAGTGGACGACCCCTTGAGAAAACATGCTAATTCTTCCAACACCCCAGACTCACAGAGTTTCCTTCTTTGGTGCAATAAAGCATAGTTGTCACTTTCAATAGAACCTCTTAATGCAGGGATAAGGGGCAGATGACAAAGCCAGCTTAGCATGGGGGACTGAGTGGCTGGTGAGGCCACTCTCAGGACTCCAGTGTGTCTCCTGTGCTTTTTGTTAGGCCCTCATGCGTGGCCATACTGATGTGTACTTGTCTCCAATGCATTCTTCACAATGCTGAGTCCTATGGTGCTTATCCCTAACCCCTCGGCCACTGTGCAGCTCCTTTGCTTGCCTGTCATTTGAACACTTACTCCTTCCAGGTCTGCAGCCACATCCTCCCCACCCTTTGCCCTTGAAGCCCCTGCTTCTGCTGCCTACTAATCTCTCTGGCCCATGACTGCCCAGCCTTCCTTCTCCCCTCACTCCAGTGGGGTGTGTGCTGACCCTCTTGCACCCCTCTGGCTCCCTTCACTTCCTCATCATGTCCTCTCTGGCCCTGACCTCGGGTCACCCCTGCTTAGCTTCCTGCTAAATGGACCGTGCTACTCTGCTCACCCTATCCCAACACATCAGTGCTGTCCACTCTGACTATGGGGCCAAGCACTGCTCTCTGTCTGCACAAGCTCCAGATGCTCTCAGTGTCCCATAGCTGAGTCACCCATCTCTGCTGGAAGCTATTTCCCCTTGTGATTGAATACAATTCAGTGTATACAGATGTTCCCCAATTCACGATGGTTTGATTTATGATTTTTCTGACTTTATGACAGTGCAAAAGTGACATGCCTTCAGTAGAAATTGTACTCTGAATTTGGACCTTTCTCTGGACTAGTGATAAGCAGTAACAATCTCTCTCTGTGCTGGGGAGTAGCCCAAGTGTAGCTCCCACTCAGCTGCGTGATTCTGCGGGTAAGCAAGCAATACTCTGCAATGTCTTGTGCGGCTAAGCTATGATGCTCGGTAGGTTAGGTGTAGTGAATGCATAAGTTCATTTTATGAAGGACTTATTGGAACAGAACCCTGTTGTAAGCTGGACATCTGTATAATACATGTCTCAGACTAACACACATCTGTGTATGTTATGTGTTTACCTTAACATTTAAGATATTCTAATTATTGGTTTGTGCTCCTCCTACTGCCTCTACATAAGGGGAAGGACCTTGCTCATTCCCTCTCTGTGTACTCCCAACACCTAGGATGTGCTTAATTTATAATTGCTGTATTAGTGGTCTTTCCCCGAAACACCTAGCACAGGCCCAACAAGTAGGGATGAGAGATTTGACGCAATTTTTTTTTGGATTACTGACCCCCAAGATACTATCTTAAATTTCATGATCATGAAACGAGAGATAGTTGAAGGATTCTGTTATGTGCAACCTGTGCACATGTGCATTATTGTGTCTCAGGTTAGGATGTGCTCTACTGTTGGAATGGGGTCTGCCTGAGAGGACCCAGCTGAGAGGTGGCAGTCAGTTCTCAGGACTACTGATCCCTTTTTCAATGACCTCCCTCTGCTACCTGTGTGATTCTGTCTATGGACTTCCACATCTGCCTACTGAAAAGTGATAGGACAAGCCACAGAGACAAAGGGCAGGTTTTGTTTCATCTTGTGCCAGACACCTGATGTGGACACAGTCTACCTTAGCTCAGGACCTTCAGAGCTGAGCGTGTGCTGGGAGAGGGGGATGTGCTGCCATCTGGAAGCCCTAGGTGGATACTTGATGCTATGCTGACAAAACTATAGGGACTTGGGCTCTAACCCCAATAGGCCCTGGTGTCACCTGAGTGAGTCCCTTCAACAGTAGCATACATAAACTATGTCTGAGAAGACCTATATTGGCCATCTCCAGGACTCATTTCCCTTCAATAGCAGGAACTTCTGAATGAGATAAGAGGTCATTTTCAAATCAGACCTGGCAGGGAGGCTTTGGGATTCTGTGAGCATCCTAGATGTCCCATGCAGCTTTCAAGAGATGTCTAGGACCTACATCGGAGGTATCTTGTTCACAAACCTGCACAGAATTGGCTGATACCTATCTTCACACACCTGTCACTCAGCCTCAACAGCAGACTTCCAATGATATGCTGGATTTTCAATTCAGAAGAGTGTTTGGAGATCACCTAGCCCAGCAAATTTATTTTTCAATACAATGTAGAAGCTGTTGCTAAAACCACTGGTCCAAGATCAAAGAGAATTTCAAATCCACGTACTCCCAAGAAGCCTCCACTAGGAACTCTTATGATTTAGTAAAGTTATCAACACTCATGACTTATATCTTTATATTAGTACATCCTCCAGAGGCAACTATTGTCTGATATCAGTTTGCTGTTGCTATATTATCAGTGTCTTTAGTAATTTATCTTGTGTTCTGGGTGAAGAGTAACCTGTTCTTTCTTCTAAGCTTCTGTTATTCACTCCCATGCTTTCTTGTAATATCTACCCGACTGCTCTAAAAGCCTTGGCCTCAGAGGAATATTTCTAAGAAAGACAAGAACTCTCAAACACAAGAAAGTGAACATTATAAATCTTACCATTCAAGATGATTTTCTACAAATGCTGACATGGGGCTGATTTGCACCGTGTAAGTATCATTTGCAGAGTACTCAAAGAGTCCATAGTAAGGGTTGAAGAGCTCCTGAGACAAAAGGAAGAAGAACTCTCGAGAAGGACCGCTGTAGTCGAGGCTATAAAGGAAGAACAGGTCCAGGAAGCTCATTTTGTGTCCAGCAGTGGAAGGACAGTCTCTTACCCAAATGCTAGTGAGCTGTTTCAGAGTCAGGGGCCACTGGGGAAAGCAGGGAGCAGTTTCTGACCCTTAGAGTAGATCTTGATGGAGGTGTTCTTTTACAGTGGAAAATGAGGTTGCAGTTATTGGTTTGAAGTGTTAACCAGATGTCCATGGCTGAACTCATGGCAATGGTCCTTAATCATTCATTCCCAATCCTTTAATACCTAACAGATAAAATACACAGCTGGCCCAATACAAACAAGGCCTTTGCTGGGAGAAATGTAGAATTTCCTGCAGCCGTGCATGTGTGCACCTGTGTGTGTGAGCACATGGGCCATCTGGAAAAGCTTCAAGTACATTTTGATGCTCCCAGCTAGGTGGGCCTGTCCTCCACACTTAAATGATTTCCAGGAAAACACAGAAAGTATATGAAGAGGTTGGTATGTAGTTATGTATGTGTACTTTCAAAAGAAGAGTTTTTTTTATCAGATACTTGGAAGGCTACACTACCTACAAGTAGAGAGACAGTGGCTTAAGACTATTTTTGGCTTATTCCTTTGGTCATGTGAGCTTAGATTCTGGAATGCCCATCGTTTAGGAGTTTGAAGAATGTGGGGTCTAAAGCTTGGTGCCAGCTGGAGAGAGGAAGATCTCATGGGAGGACACGATCAGAATCACCTTGAGACCCAGCTTATAGACACCCTGCTCCGTTTTGAGAGAAAGCAACCTGATCCCGGGAGTCTGGTATGCTCAGACTGAGGTGTGTGCATAAGATTTCTGGTGCCTCACCCCTCCTCTCCAACAAAGGTGATGTAGAGCTTGTTCCTTTGGAGCTCCTTCCGGGAATAGGCCATCACTTGGTTGAAGGTTCCCTCCAATAAGTGGTCCCGGCGAATAATGAGCCTGCGGAGGAGAGAAGAGATGGTGAGTGGGGCTCTGTACGGAGGATGCCAGACAGTGTCACATGTAAGTGGTGAGCGCCCAGCTTTATGGTCTCCCTCCACAGCCTCTTCAACAAGAAGGGAAAGGGAAGGTGCGGTCCCACAAGCTGATGGACTCAGCACTTCAAAACATTGGCAGACGAGGAAGACAGGCACTTATCACTTGGATATATTCCATTGCACTGGACTACTTTAAAATTCTTTTTGCTTTTTGATCTGTTCCTAGGATATCTCCTTTTTTGTGTGTGCTACTGGGAATGGAACACAGGGGGCTTCACGCTGAGTTACATCTTCAACCCTTTTTAAGTTTTTTGCTTTTGTTTTGAGACACAGTCTCATTAAGTTGCTAAGTTGCTCAGCCTGGGCTTGAATTTGTATTTTCTTGCCTCAGCCTCCTGGAGTGTTGGCCTTTCAGGCACATAAGCACCACAGCTAGCTCCTAGGACGTCTCTCAAGTTGGTTTCTTGAACATGGGCTCAGTTCTTAAAGATATAAACAGTAATACCAGAGGGGGAAAAATTTTAAAACCCCTTTTTACTTGGACTTCAACTGCAAAGTTAGAGTCCATGAATTCGACCAGAGTTAAAATTTTCCTAATAATAACTAAAAGAAAATAAACGTATGTTTTTTATTTAGTACAAGCTTCTTTTTTTCCTGAAAAAGTCTACTATCGATGCTATATGTGACTTTGTCTATATTCTACAGTTCTTTCTCTTTCCCCTTCCTTTTCACTCCTCCATCCATTCTCCTTCCCTTCCAATTTCTTAAATTCCTTTTTTCTTTCCTCCCAATTTCCTAGCTTCTTTCCTTCTTTCCCCCTTCCCTCTTATAATTCTATCACAGCAGACCATCCAATCTCCGAAAAGTATGACACAGATGCAAAGGATGAAGAGATAGAAACGTTTCCCATTTGAATTCAACACCAAGCCCTGAAGCACTCACTTAATTTTCCCTGGACCCTGCCCAAATCCTTTGGCTTCTAGTTTTCTGTAGAAATTTCGTAGCTTGGCCTCAAAGTCTCTCCGGTATGGTGAAGGGGCTCGTGCACTGGCTCTCTGTAAACCTGCAGAGAGAAGCACACAGGCCCACAGGTCACTAACTTTTTATCCAAGGACAAATACGCACAGCAAAGATGGAGGCAGAGCCTGGATGAGGCAGGTTCCTGGGTCTTCCTGCCTTCTTCTCTAAGAAACCTCTATTTCCCTGATTCCCTTCACTATTTTTCTAATACACAGAAGTAATGTAGTAAAGAGAAGAGCTGGAGGTTTAGCTCAGGGGTGCTGTTGCCTACCTCACAAGTGCGAGGTCTGGAGTTCGATCCTCAGTACCAGAGAGAGAGAGACAGAGAGAGAGAGGGAGAGAACATTCTGATGCAAATAAATATCTATGTCTTCCACTTCAATTATTTCAAAATGTATTTTTCTTTAAAGGATCCTGATACACATTTTCTTGTCTTAATTGTACTTGGACAATCTGAGACAGTTAATATGAACTGAACTGGACTACACTTTTCTTGTAAGTTGTTATATTCTAAGAAGTGATTGAAACTGTAGTGAGACAACAGAACTTTAATATGTGTTTTTCATGCTTCTCTATTCATGTTGATTCTAGGAGAAACACATCTGTACAGTAGGGCCCAGAACATTTAGAAATTTGTATTAGATTACCTTGAATCATAAAAACAAATGTTATAACAATAATACTTCATTGACTCTATAGAGAGTGCTTTGCAAATGCTCTATTACCTTTGTATACCTTTAATGAAAAAAGAAACAGAAAAAGTAACATTCATATCCGAGTTTTACAGATGGCCAAAATCATGTTTCCCCCATTCAACAGCTATTTGGTTACTATCTGAGTATTCCAGACACTAATCTTACAGTCTGAAGAAGACTTACACAAGTAAATGCGTAGAAATGAGTATAACATTACAGGTTGAGATGGTTGTTACCCATGAAAGAAAGGAACACAGCTCTTTGAGAACACGGAACCTGCTGGCCACATCCAGGAACCATTCCCTGGGGGAGAAACTAAGAAGAAGTGGGTATGACATAGAATGGTCCAGGAAAGTTTTCCTTTAAGAAAAGAGAGGATCTGGGAGAAGAACAATTCAGACAGAAGATTAGCACATTCGTCCTCTGGCCAAATGGAAAGCAATGCTCTAGTTTGTCTGAAGCACAGGGTTATGAGGACCAAAATGATAAATGGCTCTTGAGAGGTGGGCAGGAACCACACCAAACAGGATAAACTATCTTGCTAAGCAATTTTGTTTCCTGCTAACTGTAACAGGAAGACTTTGAATAAGGGCCTGGCATGATATTACTTCCTGCTGTACAGGAAAAAAAGACCACAGAGAATTAGGGCAGGTCACACCGAACAAGTCTGGTGTCAATGCACTGAAGATGGGAGGTAGACAGACTGGAAATGTAATTAGAAAGCACTTAACTGGAAATACGCAGCGAGGGAGAGGTGTGTTTCAGAGTTTGTAACTAAATGAACTGAGGTGATAGTAAAATAGGAAAGAGAGGAGAGAGGAGAACCACGCCTGCTCCCGACCCAGCCGCCACTGCTCAAGCACCGGTAGGTAGGCCGGCCCAATCCACCGCAGGAAGGAGAACCACACCTGCTCCCGACCCAGCAGCCATCACTCAAGCGCCGGGAAGGTAGCCGCAGGGCGCCCCTGAACCCCCATAAGCCCCCCCACGCTCTCAGACCTCCTGACTGTGCAAGTCTTTGGACCCACTCTGCAAAGAGAGAGGTGGTCATCAAGAGTATTTTTCTGAGTTCCCAACTTTGAACATCTTTAAAGAAAGGGCGGGGGAAACCTGTAATAGAACACTGTGGAGTTCAACCATTCAGAAGGATGGGGAACTCAATCTGGGCCTTGCAGCCTGAGGTCAGTCAGCGTCATGGGGTTCAGCAATCAGCTAACTGAGATCAGGGGTCTTCCATCCTCGCTCTGTCTGAGCCATTAAATGGTTAATATACTATATTGAAAAGTTTGTTCACTGCAGACATGTTCTGGACTGCTTTTTGATTTCAATTTAATTCAAATGATTTAAGGGTGATAGACTAGTGACTACCACAGGTGGTCAGTGTCCAAGTTGTGCTTGATTTTAATGTGTTGCTGATTGTATCAGTTGGGATAAAGCATTGCCGTTGATTTGATGAGCTATTTTTTCTGATGTTATGAAGATGAGAATGCCCGTGGGTCGTTAGAGACACAGAAGCTAGGGTGCAACTATATCAGGAAGATTTGGGTGATAATCCAGAGATTAAACCAAGGACAGTCCAACAACAAAAATTAAAATGAGAAAACACTTAAGCAAGACACGAGGATAGACTTCCAGTTCACCAATGGCAAACAGTAGGGCAAATGAGGATGAAAATGCCGATAGTGAACCACCAGGACACCCTGAACTCAAAGCACAGGAAGTAACAAAACAGATCAATCAGGCTCTAGAAAAATTCAAAAACAGAAATAATTTCCCAGATAACCATAGAGATAGTGAGCAAAATAGAAGTCGTGATTCATGACTCTAGAGCAGAAACTGACAGAAAAATAGATGAGCTCAGGACCATGATAGAAGCCATGAAGGCCCAGCATAAGAAAGAAATGGAAAAAATAAACGCCCAACATAGGAAAGAAAGGGAACCCATAAAACAGATTCGAACAGATATCCAGGAGATTAAACACTCTATTGAAAGTGTACTCAACAGAATAAAAGAATGCGAAGATAGGCTCTCAGATATAGAAGATAAGATTGCAGTCAGTGACCATGAAAAGAGAGGTCTCTTAAAAACAGTAAGAGATTACGAGAAATCGATCCAACAACTCCTAGATGATGCAAAGAAGAATAACATAAGACTGATAGGAATCCATGAAGTAGCAGGAAAAAATACAAATGACTTAAAAAAGCTGTTTGCATAATTAATGACAGAAAACTTCCCAAACAGAGGGGAAGAATTTGACGTTCAGATAACTGAGCCAACTGGCTACAATCAAAAAAAATCTACACCTAGACATATAATAATCAAGATCCCAGAAACCCAACAGAAGAACAAAATACTACAAGCAGTAAGAGAAAACAAACAAATCACATGCAAAGGAAAGCCCATCAGAATCACAGCAGACTTTTCAACACAAACCCTTGGGGCAAGGAGAGCCTGGAATGAGATATTTCAAGTACTAAAAGAGAACAACCTCCAACCTAGACTGATGTATCCTGCAAAACTCTCTTTCAAAATGGAGGGGAAAATAAGGCACTTCCACGACAAAGAACACCTGAGAAACTACGTGAATACCAAACCAGCACTACAAGCAATTCTAAACAAGATCCTAGAAAAAGACAATGAAGGCAACAACACCATGAGGCCCAACAGAGCAAATCAAATAGGCAAGGCAAGAAATTAAAAGGAGAAGGTGAAAAAGTAAAAAGAGTCAACAAAAGGCCAATAACATGTCAATAATAAGTCAGTACATATCAGTTATAACCAGCAATGTCAATGGCCTCAACTCACCAATCAAGAGAAATAGACTGGCAAAATGGAATAAGAAGCAAAATCCAACAATATGTTGTATACAAGAAACACACCTAGTGCAAAAAGAAGCCCATAGACTGAAAGTGAAAAGATAGAAAACAATTCTCCATGTGACAGGAGCCCAGAAAAAAACAGGGGTAGCAATCTTATTTGCAGACAAAGTAAATTTCAAACCAAAACTGAATCTAGTATTATTGATGTAGGACAGTACTGTATCATACCTCTATGAATGTAAAATATCTAGTACCTGCTTTATGATACATAGTAGGGACCGTGCTTTATCAGAGCTACATTTAATGATATTACTCTAGAATGTTCTCTTTCCAGATGATGATTAAGAGGCTAATAGATAAAATGGTGCCAGGTACCACAACAGCAACAGAACTTTGCTGTTTTCTGGATATTATTCTTTTCTTTGTTTCTTTTTGTTTTGTTTTTTTAATGGAATGTGCTGAATGTCTATAATTTTGTTCAGATGACTGCAGAACCTGGAGAAGCTGTTGCTGCTATCAATGCATAACATACTATTATTAGTCTTTATATACACACACACACACACACACACACATATATAAATTGAATTATATATATATAAATTGAATTTTGGGAAACTTTAACGGTGCTGCCAACTTTGGAAAAAGTCATCCCAATTTACTGTGTTAACTTGGCATTGTACAGAAATGGACAAACATATTGATCTAGAAATGTTAATTTATTTTATTTTATTTTTTTCCCATGTGTACAGGGGTAACACATCATACTAAATATGTAAGGTCATATCTACGTGGGTTTGATTACAGAAACTAATAAAGCATTCTCTAAATAATGAAAAAAGAATAAGATCAGACTA